CCTGGTTTATATGGGACAAAACTGACCCATGATTCTCAATTCGATTTTTTTCGAGAGTTCATTTCTATATGCCCCCTAACGAGTCCTCTAAATATCTCCTAGGTCGTAATCACGTCTTTTCCAGTGTCACATCTCTTCAGTTTTGAAAGGTCACGTTCCTTCCGTCTGTTGTTTAGTAGGTCGTTCCACTATGCAAGTTGGTGAGCGTTCTCTAGTTTCAGTATGTTTATCTTAGGTAGTAGAACTAATAACCAAACTTTTTAAAGGGGTGGACCAGTAAGCCTCAGTCAGATGATAATAAACTATATGTGTTTGCAGAAGTCAATACCTAACTCCTGGCTTTTCTTATCACTGGAAATAGAGGCTGCCAGATGCTCTTATACAAACAATCAACAAGTTCGACATACTCAAATATGAAGCTCTTTATTTTCTTGAAGTACAAAGTGATATGGATACACGAGACACCTACATGAGGGTCCATGAGCAGCGGTTCAACACACTCAAGCCCCTGAAGAGTTCTCCTTCTGGCTATTAGTGCCAGATCAGTTCAGTTCTTGGAGAACCGGTCGGATGCACCTGTACAAATACAAGATTCTATTGCGACACAGTTCACTCCGGGAGGGGATCACCCGCATTCTAACAACGTCCGGAAACCTCGCAGGATGTCCGCTTGAGAACAGTTCACCTGACGCGCAGTACTTAAAAGTAGTACTATCGGTAGAAGTAGTACTACTGCTGGAGTAGTAGCTGCAACCCGTGTCAACCATCCGTCAGTAGCTTTCCAATAAAATGTCCGGGTCCATTTGTCTAATACGATATGAATTCTCTCTCTCTCTCTCTCTCTCTCTCTCTCTCTCTCTCTTCTCTCTCTCTCTCTCTCTCTCTCTCTCTCTCTCTCTCTCTCTCTCTCTCTCTCTCTCTCTCTCTCTCTCTCTCTTCTCTCTCTCTCTCTCTCTCTCACTCTCCCCTGTCCCAAGTGTCTATTACCCCTTTTTAAAATTAGCCTCTGGGTGTCCTTTTTTTTTACAGTATTGGAGCGGATGAATATCGCGTATGTATATATATATTATATATATATATATATATATATATATATATATATATATATATATACATATATATATATATATATATATATATATATATATATATATATATATATATATATATATATATATATATATATATATATATATTATATATATATATATATATATATATATATATATATATGCAATAAGATCACAGTAAACAGGTGATTTCAGAATATGCAAAACAACCACTCAAGATAGAGTCAAACTGTCTGTTTTCTCATCAATGTTTTTGAGAGCTTTACGAATTTGTAGTCCTGAGTTCATAGATGAGGAAATATCCAAAATTTATGAAATAGGTAATGATTTAAAATACCCAAGAAATGTAATTGATAAATCTTTTAAAGTTGCTAGAAATACTTTTTACAATCCAAAAAGGGACAACCAGCCTTATTCAACTAAAAATATGTTGGTTCTCCCTTACCATGAAAACTTGGTTGATATGCCTTCTCTTCTTAAGACTTTTAATATTAAAGTTGTATTCAAAAATCTTGATACAGTAAAAAAACTTTTGATAAAGAATTCCCCCCAAAATGCTGATGGATGTGTCTATAAGATTCCTTGTAAAATTTGCGATAAAGTTTATTACGGTCAAACTGGTAAAAATCTCGAACTAAGATTAAAACAACATAAATATACCATTAGAACTGGACAAGATTCCAATGCTCTATTTATTCATGTAAGAGATTTTAACCATTCAATTGATTTTCAAAAAGTTGAGAAAGTAGTATCAAGCAAGTCCATGGTCGACAGGAATATAATTGACTCTTGTTTCATAAAAAGCAGTTTTGACAATAATATGAGTATTTCCTTTGGTTTATATAAATTAGATCCATTTATAATTAATAGAATTTGGGAAGAATTTAATAATACACTGGACAAATAACATTTTTTAAATTTTCTTGGGTAGAATAGTTTGTTGGTGAGTTGTGCAAAGGACCTGTCCAGTTGGGCCGGCGCGCGTCAGGTGTTTAACAGTTGTGGGATCTGATAGTGAGGTGTTGGCCAGACCCCTTATATAGCTTCCTTGGATGCTTTACTTTCATAGTTCCTTGATAATGTGAGTAGTCACGAAAGCGCTTGGAATTTCTCTATTCTTTCAGAGTGGTTGTTTTGTGCATATATATATATATATATATATATTATATATATATATATATATATATATATATATATATATATATATATATATATATATATATATATATATATATATATATATATATATATGTATACATTTATATATATATATATATATGTGTGTGTGTGTGTGTGTGTGTGTGTGTGTGTGTGTGTGTGTGTGTGTGTCTGTGTGTCTGTGTGTCTGTGTGTGTGTACTCACCTAGTTGTATTAACCTAGTTGAGGTTGCAGGGGTCGAGTCCAAGCTCCTGGCCCCGCCTCTTCACTGGTCGCTACTAGGTCACTCTCCCTGAACCATGAGCTTTATCATACCTTTGCTTAAAGCTATGTATGGATCCTGCCTCCACTACATCGCTTCCCAAACTATTCCACTTCCTGACTACTCTGTGGCTGAAGAAATACTTCCTAACATCCCTGTGATTCATCTGTGTCTTCAACTTCCAACTGTGTCCCCTTGTTGCTGTGTCCCATCTCTGGCACATCCTGTCTTTGTCCACCTTGTCAATTCCTCTCAGTATTTTGTATGTCGTTATCATGTCGTCCCTATCTCTCCTGTCCTCCAGTGTCGTCAGGTTGATTTTCCTTAACCTCTCCTCGTAGGACATTCCTCTTAGCTCTGGAACTAGTCTTGTTGCAAACCTTTGCACTTTCTCTAGTTTCTTTACGTGCTTGGCTAGGTGTGGGTTCCAGACTGGTGCCGCATACTCCAGTATGGGCCTAACGTACACGGTGTACAGGGTCCTGAACGATTCCTTATTAAGATGTCGGAATGCTGTTCTGAGGTTTGCTAGGCGCCCATATGCTGCAGCAGTTATTTGGTTGATGTGCGCTTCAGGAGATGTGCCTGGTTTTTTACTCACCCCAAGATCTTTTTTCTTGAGTGAGGTTTGTAGTCTCTGGCCCCCTAGACTGTATTCCGTCTGCGGTCTTCTTTGCCCTTCCCAATCTTCATGACTTCGTACTTGGTGGGGTTGAACTCCAGGAGCCAATTGCTGGACCAGGTCTGCAGCCTGTCCAGATCCCTTTGCAGTTCTGCCTGGTCTTCGATCGAATGAATTCTTCTCATCAACTTCACGTGTGTGTGTGTGTGTGTGTGTTGTGTGTGTGTGTGTGTGTGTGTATACACACATGTATGTATATTTACGTTGTGCGGTATCATGCTTTAGCCATGTTCATGTATGAATAATGAGTAATAGGTTAGTTAACACACTGATGTTTACGCAGCGATCTGATATTGTAGCGGAATATTGATATGTTGTTTCTTTGAAGACGCTGTTTACACCGCTTGTTGTGTAATACTTGTAGCCTTGATCTGCTGTGAACTGATTATTGTAGAGGTCAGAGAGGAGGTTCAACTTAAGGTCAAGATTAAGATATGGAAGGGATCGTTGTTGCTTACGATTAGCTTAGCTTACTCACCGGAGGCCCGGATAACAGATTTGCGTCATGGACTTAACTAAACTCTAATGTGAAACGGCTCACTAGTTAAACTGACAGTAGTGACACTAGAAGTTAGTAACATTCTAATTACAAGAATGTTATTAACGGTAATAATAAAAATATAAACGTTAGGTAGCAATGCTAATATACACTATGCGGATGTAGTATAAAATACAACTTATTATAATATAAAATACAATGTGGTGTAATTTGAAAATACATTGTAATAGCGCAGTGCAGAGTAACATCAAAGTAACATCAAAGTAACATCAAAGTAACACCAAAGAATAATGTAGAAAATATATGTGAGGTAGTTATACAAAGTAACTCAAGGTAATACAATAGTTTGGACAAAAATTAAGTATTGGTTCTACGAAATACAGTTTATTAGTCACAGATGTAATAAAATATAGTAATTGCAAGAATTGTATTATTAGTAAAGTTATTCCATAAAATCTTGCCACATGCAGTGAACCTCGAAAGAAATTCTCGACTGCTTAACAATTCGTAAAGGGGCGAAATTATTTACAAACATGTTGGTTATTGATCAGTAATGGCATTTATTGTTAAGCAGTACTTATTATTCAGTAGTATTTATTGTTCTGTAGCTATACTTATTATTCAGTAATTGTATTTATTGTTCTGTAGTGGTATTTATTGTACAGATATTGCATTTATTGTTCAGAATGATCCAAGATAATAACCTCAGCGAGAAGTAGCCTCGTTGCAACACACTAAGATCACTTTTGTTAAGTTAGGTCACACTAGGAGGTAAATCCCCGACTGAACCACAAGTTTTACGATGTAGAATGCGTGCCTGCACACCAGTTATAACCTCCTCCCTCCTCTGTACCTCGAGCCTGGGTGCTTGCCGGAGTTTCCCATCTCATGTTGACAGATCTTAATACTTTGTATGAAAAAAGACAACATAGTTGACTTTTTTTCCCCTCATTGTCTAAATATCATATACAACAAGGTAGCAGCACAGTGCTCATGTATTCAATTATGTTAAATTGAAAAAGCGCCTAGGCTTTCGAGAATACACTTCCAATATCCCACGCCATGTTGGACCAGTCATAACTATCTCAGCTACGTGGCTACCTGAAGACCATCCTTATGCCTCCAATCATCTACATGTTTTAGCTCCTTCCAAACACTTTTCATGTGTTTGTTAGGAGGTTGTAAGTATAATTATTGATTTTAACATACTATCGAATCGTTCAAATTACGAAACAGTGTTATCGAGTTATTACGAAACAGTGTTATTAAGTTATTATTAAGTTCAAGAGACATGGATGTTCAACAGACAACACTGTCAGAGAGCTCTGTTAATATTCCTTCAATCTCTTTCTAAATAACTGAGTGACTATTGTCTAACTGCAGATAAAAAAATATTAAATATCATCCTCTTGTATGCCTAGAGAGATGTATATAATATCTCACATACGGAGTGGTAGGCTTAGTAAACGATGTTGCTCAGATCCCTTACGTAGGGCTGAATAGCCATAGTTTATAGGGTTAATACGTAGATAGTACTCAAATCTTTTGAGGTAGGTCCGGGTAGTAGTATTGTCAGTAGATGGTGGTGTTCCGAGACCCTGACGGAGGGTCAGTAGACCGTGTTGTAGGCGGTAGCAAAGGCGTGGGTGACAGGACAGAAAGCTCGCGCTGCCTGGTCGTAGATACTGCCAGAGTCTTTGACGATCGGCCGGCGATAGCTCAGTTGATTCCAGGTGTGTATCATGTAGGAGCGAGGGTACCGCTGTGAAAACAGAGAACAACACTAAGCGTGAGCCATCTATTACTACTACATCTAACTCTGTGTGATGAATGGTTTTGAAAACCGACAAGTTGAAGACTGAGACACTTATGCACCATATGGGAATCTTTATTTAGGAAAGATTCCCATATGGTGCATAAGTGTCTCAATCTTCAACTTGTCGGTTTTCAAAACCATTCATCACAACTGTCAGACACTGCATCATCATGGGATCTTGGTACAAAGAATTCTCCAACTTGTCCTACCTATGGACGAAGACCTACTTCGACTAGTGGATGGTACCACTACGACCCCGCCTCCGCCTGCTTCGCCTCACCCGACTACAGTATATAAGCCACATCTACGGCCTTATGCTGTACATTCTACAAGATTGATGGACTGAACACATCGACTCCAGGCTGAGGGACTGATTACCTCAATCTCCTCCTCTTCTTGCACCTCTCTGCTTTGTATAGGACTGATGAAGCCACTGTGTGGCGTAACGTTTCCTAAATAAAGATTCCCATATGGTGCATAAGTGTCTCAATCTTCTACATCTAACTCTCTTGGACAGGAATGGAACAAAGAGGGAATCATCAATGAGTACAAGTACCTCTACGAACATTAACGAAACACGAATGAGCCAATCTTATACGAATTCAGAAACTTCGAAAACACAGACCAGAGAGACTACCTGTTTAAGATATTAGACCAATCAGGGTAACATTAATAATAATAATAATAATAATAATAATAATAATAATAATAATAATAAATAATAATAATAATAATAATATTATTATTATTATTATTATTATTATATTATTATTATTATTATTATTATTATTATTATTATTATTATTATTATTATTATTATTAATTTCAGGTGAAGGCTCAGTGCTCACTATTCACGTATGGAGCACAAGGAGCTTTAAGGAAGATAGTTTGAGAAAAAGCTCCTTTATACATATTGCATTTATGCGAAGCGCTAAACCTGTGTGGGTTATTAAGTGGGAGGTGTAGTGGATGCTCGATTCTCTTTCTATAAATAGACAGAAACGATTCTTTTCTTTTAGACAATGTTCCTAGTTTTCTAGCACTTGTGGGGTCATAACCTCACTCTAACTCAACGAGAATTGTTCATTTGAGTAACTGCTTGCCAGAGTCACTAGTAATTACCCACTTGAATAACTGATACCCTCAGTAATCACTTGAATAACTGATCACCTGAGTAACTACTCACCTGAGTAACAGGACGAGGTGCTTGAGGGATGAAGAGTGTCTTCCATACGCTGGCGGGTACAGGGTAGAAGGCTATGATGGGCAGGAGATCGATGCCCTGGCACCTGCCTGCCCGGCCTGGTACCAGACCCTTGGCACCACCACCACCTGGCACCAGACCCTTGGCACCACCACACAGCTGCAGCATCACCTGGGTGAAGGCGAGAGGGCCGCTCCAGCCCCACTTGTTCGTCTGGCGGGAAGAAGAAATGGATCCTGAAGGAGAGATGCAGATTTCAGGAGATGCTTCTGGCGGTACCACGTTTCGTCTGTGTAGCATTTCACCAAGTCATGACCTGACGAAGCTCTGCACAGAGCGAAACGTTGTTTCAACCAAAGCTTGGTTTTTATTTATTTATAACCTGTGTCTTTTCTTCACTCTAGACAATGACAATGACAGTGGCAACGGCAGTGACAGTGACAGTGACAACGACAGTGACAATGGCAGTGACAACGACAGTGACAGTGACAGTGACAACGACAGTGACAATGGCAGTGACAACGACAGTGACAGTGACAACGACGGTGACAATGACAGTGACAACGGCAGTGACAGTGACAGTGACAACGACGGTGACAATGACAGTGACAACGGCAGTGACAGTGACAGTGACAACGACAGTGACAATGGCAGTGACAAAGACAGTGACAATGACAGTGACAACGACGGTGACAATGACAGTAACAACAACAGTGACAATGCCAGTGACAACGACGGTGACAATGACAGTAACAACAACAGTGACAATGCCAGTGACAACAACAGTGACAATGCCAGTGACAACGACAGTGACAATGCCAGTGACAACAACAGTGACAATGCCAGTGACAACGACAGTGACAATGACGGTGACAATGACAGTAACAACAACAGTGACAATGGCAGTGACAAAGACAGTGACAATGCCAGTGACAACGACAGCGACTAGACAGTTATGAACGGATCCTCAGGCGCCTCTGACTAGAGGAGAGAGAATATAATAAATTACCTACGTTGAAGCCAAATTATGTTAAATTATGAAGATTTAAAAAAAAAATCATTAGTTTCACTATCATATACAGAAAATTACGCTCTCTTATCTGTTGTGGACACGCTATATATCGAGCACCCCTCAAGGAAGGTTCCTTGATGTTGGTGAGGGGCTCTTGATTTAGGGAATTGGATCTGTGCTCCAGTTCCCCGAATTAAGCCTGAATGCCTTCCACATCCCCCCCCCCCCCAGGCGCTGTATAATCCTCCGGGTTTAGTGCTTCCCCCTTGATTATAATAATAATAATATATATCGAGCAATTTTTAATATTTATGTTTTGCTTCAGTATGCATATAAATAATGGAGCTGATATTATATTAAATAGAAACAAATAAATTACCTCAATTTTTAATTAAATTTGCTCTCTATACTGAATTTAAAAAAAAAAAATCGATAAATCCGGGGAAATTTGAAGATAAAAATTATATTTATCGAGTCATGGAGTGAGGGCGAAACATTGTGTATGTCTCGACCTCCGATGAGGTCTTCTTCAGGAGTTAGAAGTCGAAAGTCCTTTCAAGGACTTGATGCCGGTCAGGGCTCTTGATCCAAAAAGAGAAGCTTACCTGCCTTTCCTAGGATCGAATCTGATTGTCTCCAATTCCTCCAAGGTTAAGTGTTCCCTTTGTATGTAATAATAATGATAATCATCATCATCATCATCATTATCATCATCATCACCATCACCATAATAATAATAATAGCTATGATAATGGAATGATGCATAATATTATGCATGATGATCAATATAATGTAAGATGAACAATATTATGTATAATGACGAATATGATGTTTAATGATCAATATGATGTATAATGAATAATATAATGAATAATGAAAATATTGTGTTTAATTATGAATAATATTGAACAATATGGTGCGTAATAATGAACAATATGATGGATAATGATGAACAATATGATGAAGGATGAGCAGTATGATGCATGACGTACCTGGTATCCGTCAGCAACGCGCAGTATGATGCATGACGTACCTGGTATCCGTCAGCAACGCGCAGTATGATGCATGACGTACCTGGTATCCGTCAGCAACGCGCAGTATGATGCATGACGTACCTGGTATCCGTCAGCAACGCGTTGCATGACACTCTGCAAGAAAGGATGGTGACGTCTGAGGTGGAAGACACCTGAGCCCAGCGTTGACGTCTCCTGCCAGCCGATGACGTCAACGAGTCGAGTGACGTCTCTGATGCACACGACGTCCGTGTCGACGTACATCCCTCCCAGGTGCCACACCAGTGCCAGACGCAGCAGATCTGCCAGGTTGACCTCGGGCCACGCTGGTGCAGGGGGGGGGGAGTGTTGGCACAAGTGGTGTTAAAACCTAATGTTGGCACCAGTGGTACCACAACCTAATGTTGGCACCAGTGGTACCACAACCGAATGTTGGCACCAGTGGTGCCACAACCTAATGTTGGCACCAGTGGTGTTAAAACCTAATGTTGGCACCAGTGGTACCACAACCTAATGTTGGCACCAGTGGTACCACAACCTAATGTTGGCACCAGTGGTGCCACAACCTAATGTTGGCACCAGTGGTGTTAAAACCTAATGTTGGCACCAGTGGTACCACAACCTAATGTTGGCACCAGTGGTACCACAACCTAATGTTGGCACCAGTGGTACCACAACCTAATGTTGGCACCAGTGGTACCACAACCTAATGTTGGCACCAGTGGTACCACAACCTAATGTTGGCACCAGTGGTACCACAACCTAATGTTGGCACCAGTGGTACCACAACCTAATGTTGGCACCAGTGGTACCACAACCTAATGTTGGCACCAGTGGTGCCACAACCTAATGTTGGCACCAGTGGTGTTAAAACCTAATGTTGGCACCAGTGGTACCACAACCTAATGTTGGCACCAGTGGTACCACAACCTAATGTTGGCACCAGTAGTGCCACAACCTAATGTTGGCACCAGTGGTGTTAAAACCTAATGTTGGCACCAGTGGTACCGCAGCCTAATGCTGGCACCAGTGGTACCACAACCTAATGTTGGCACCAGTGGCATCACAACATAATGTTGGCACGAGTGGTACCACAGCATAATGTTGGCACGAGTGGTACCACAACATAATGTTGACACCAGTGGTACCATAAATTAATGTTGGCACCAGTGGTGCCAGAATTTAATATTAGTCATCGGTGGTGCCACAACGTAATGTTGGCACCAGCAGTGCCCCAGTCTTCCACTATTTTGTCAGCAGTGCCAAACCTTATCTCTACGTTGCTATCAACGGTCTCACAGGTTAACACCACGTCATTACCAGTGGTGCCATAACCTACCACTGTGTTATTACCAGTGGTGCCACAACCTACTACTGCGTTATTACCAGGGGTGCCAAAACCTACTACTGTGTTACTACCAGTGGTGGTATAAACCTTGGTAATACACACCGACAAGTTGATTTAGAAAGACACGTAAGCAAACACTAGGATATATTTATTAGAAAACGTTTCGGTCCTGGGACCTTGATCACTTCTAACATACAGAGGATGAAAGACATTATGTATAGGCGGAGAGTGAGGTGTGATTGACACATGGTGACCTGAGGAATGTCATGTTGGGATGAGGACGGGTAGACGATGAGATCATGTAACTCCTATGTTGCTGGGTTGGTGGTGCTTTGCCTGGTTGACTATCATGTATGCTAATGTTTTAGAAATTTCGTGGTTTCCAGTGTTACGTTCTATTGTGTCGGTGACGGCAATTAGCGAGGCTTCTAGACACTGTCGGCGTCTAAGGTCTGGCTCGGTGAGAACGAGTTGTGCCTCATCCCAAGAAATATGTAAGTGAAACAGGCAGAGAACTTGCGGTCCTCCTGAACGAGCATCGTAGTGCCAGTAATAGAGACGATTTAAGGTACGTCTGTGTCCTCCACCGAGACTTCACGGGGCATTTGATGAACTGGGATGAGGCACAAATCGTTCTCACCGAGCCAGACCTCAGACGCCGACAGTGTCTAGAAGCCTCGCTTATTGCCGTCACCGACACAATAGAACGTAACACTGGAAACCACGAAATTTCTAAAACATTAGCATACATGATAGTCAACCAGGCAAAGCACCACCAACCCAGCAACATAGGAGTTAAATGATCTCATCGTCTACCCGTCCTCATCCCAACATGACATTCCTCAGGTCACCATGCGTCAATCACACCTCACTCTCCGCCTATACATAATGTCTTTCATCCTCTGTATGTTAGAAGTGATCAAGGTCCCAGGACCGAAATGTTTTCTAATAAATATGTCCTAGTGTTTGCTTACGTGTTTTTCTACACCAACTACCAGTGGTGACAACCTACTGGTGTGTACCCACAATGTTGCCACACCCCACTAGTGTGTACCCGCAGTGGTGCCACACCCCACAAGTGTGTACCCGCAGTGGTGCCACACCCCACTAGTGTTTACCCACAGTGGTGTCACACCCACTAGTGTGTACCCACAAGGGTGCCACAACCCACTAGTGTGTACCCACAGTGGTGCCACAACGCACTAGAGTGTACCCACAGTGGTGCCACAACTTACTAGTATGTACCCACAATGGTGCCACAACCCACTAGTGTGAACCCACAGCGCTGTCACAATTTACTGGTGTTTGTGTTCCAGGCTGCGGTGGTGTAGAGCCGCAGAAGTGGGGTGCCGGAGAAGAGGTGCCGCAGATCAGCAGTGACGGGCCGCAGGTTGGAGTACTGCCGCAGCAGGGATGCCGCAGGACCGACCATGGTATTCAGCACTCCAGCTCTCATCACGTACCATACCACAGCCTCTGGGTTCTGCTGAGCCAAGCTGGAAAGAATTTTTTTCTGTCAACAAAAGGCCTTGGTCAGATGACCAAAACCTCGAGCTGAGGGGTCATTATATGACTAAGACCCGAGTCAGAAAACACCTGTGTCCTGACAAACTTTACCTAACCTAACCTTTAAATAAAAATTAGATTCAGATGAGAAATTAGACACAGGTGCAACACCTGGGTGTTTTTATTTGAAGATGCTTGACCAAGCATTGGCTGTTTCAGTTCAATACTGATGATATACGAAGACATTAGAAGATGAGGGAATCAAAACTGGAAACTCCAGCAGTAATCTGCTATACTACTCTGTATAACAGCTACACACTGGGAACAAAATCTATGTTTCCTGTTATATGAAGTCACGTCGGTATGGCGACGAGGATACCGTCAAGCATTGCAACCATGAGTTCAGTAGCAACACCCGTTAAGCTAGGGAAGAGATGCACGTTATGGAAAAAGATAAATGGTTGAAGGTTGGAGGTTAGGTTGGAGGGACCAGGTTTAAAGGAGACAGCCAGGAAACCTCAGTATTAATACACACACACACACACACACACACACACACACACACACACACATATATATATAATATATATATATATATATATATATATATATATATATATATATATATATATATATATATATATATATATATATATATATATATATATATATATATATATATATATAACGAAGAGTGTTACTATCAAGTGCCGTCCCATACTTAGTCATGCTCACACTCCACTTGTGTCCAGTGCCTTCTTGAAGACAGCCAGGGGTCTACTGGTAATCCCCCTTATGTATGCTGGGAGACAGTTAAACAGTCTTTGGCCCCGGACACTTATTGTGTTGTTTCTCAGTGTACTCCTGGCACTCCTGCTTTTCACTGGGGGAATGTTGCATCTCCTGCAGAGTCTTTTGCTTTCATAGGG